ATTCCAGAGATCTTAATAAGCTGATGCTGTTATCAATATTTAACACCTGTAATGAATCTACTATTACCGATACACGTAAACGCATATATATACATATATATATATAAAAACGTTGTACCACAGTAGAAAAATCCAGCTTCGGCAAGATCTTGTGCATGCAGACCGAGGATGGGCCATCCTTCGACATAGCTCTTCAATCGGCTATCTAGTGTCGTGAAATCACTTCGTTTCGGTCTAGAAATGCTGGTAGAGACCAGTTTCATCCGGAGATCCTCCTGTGAGACGAAGCGATAGCAGGGAATAAATCTGGGATTGAGCTCACGGGTAAAGAGTTATATACAGTGTTCATAAATACTAATCAGCGATAAAAGATACCAAACTACTCACTGCATTCGGGATACGATCCGGCCATATGTCTTGACGAAAATCTGCAAGCGTCGCCTCAACACGTCTTGATCCGCAATCGTCCAGACTCGGATGTAGTACCGGTAACCTGGCTAAGATATTGCCTTGAACAATGGGAACATTTCCAGTTGGCTGACCCCTAATAAAGGGACATTGGGGAAAATGGCGTTGATGTTCTCCTCTTGGCGTGCCAGTTTTTTCCCAGGTTCCAACTATCCCTCTGCAGAAGATACACGCACAGTGATCATCTTTCCTGAGATAATAAAATCCGTCGCCGCCAATTCTGACGGTTTCAGCCATTCATGAGGCCAGTCGATGAAGGTTCCTAATCGCTTTTCTTCGTATCTCAGACAATCGTAGCCGACAAACGGCATGTCCCTGTATACTATAGTGGTATCGATGGGAGATATCTCATGTTCGCTGAACGTGGTTAACCGATACTCTTCCTGCTGCAGAAAACTGTTAGGATGTGATATATCCATCGTCTTCGGTTACATTGATCTGGCACTGGCTATGAAAACATTTCTTATGGACCGAATTAGAAGATCTTCTCCGATCTTCCGATTTAAAAAAATTACTTACACTACACTTAAAAGTACAGGAACCGGAGAGAGGAGAAGTCGAGTCGAGTCTAACTTTATATTATCATTCGGTTTTATATACGCTATGCCATGTTTCTAAATACGTATTCCAGTTTTTAAGATGTGTCCACTTTTAAAAAGGACGCACTTTAAAAAACTGGACATGTTTTAAAAGTGGCACATCTTAAAAACTGGACCTGTCTTAAAAGTGGACTAGGGGTGGGAGAGAAAAGTGGACACACCTTACAAACCTGGACATGTCCTTAACAGTGTACACACTTATAAACTGGACATGTCCTAAAACTGACATGGCTTAAAACTTGCATGTGTTAAAAGTGGACATATTTTAAAAGAGGATACTCTCTTAGATGGTGTCCACTTTAAGACATGTCCAGTTTTAAATGTGTGTCCTCTTTTAAAATATGTCCACTTTTAAGACATAGTCCATTTTAAACATGTCCAGTTTATAAGGTGTGTCCACTTTAAAGCATGTCCAGTTTATAAGGTGTGTCCACTTTTAAAGCATGTCCAGCTTTTAAGGTGTGTCCTCTTTTAAAAATATGTCCACTTTTAAGACATGTCCAGCTTTTAAGGTGTGTCCTCATTAAAAATATGTCCACTTTTAAGACATGTCCAGCTTTTAGGTGTGTCCTCTTTTAAAATATGTCCACTTTTAAGACATGTCCAGCTTTTAAGGTGTGTCCTCTTTAAAATATGTCCACTTTTAAGACATGTCCAGCTTTTAAGGTGTGTCCTCTTTTAAAATATGTCCACTTTTAAGACATGTCCAGCTTTTAAGGTGTGTCCTCTTTTAAAATATGTCCACTTTTAAGACATGTCCAGCTTTTAAGACATGTCCATATTTTAAAACGTCCTATTTTGAAACATGTCCATTTTTTCAGACATATCCAACTCTCAAAGTAAGTTTAAACGGCTACTTTCCGTGATTATGATAAACACGACTCATAAAGACGAATCGTAAGAATAGAATATGTATTGCTGTAGATTCAAGGATCGTGATCATTTATCGTTTCGATGGGGCAACAGACAAATTCTGATATACTATAATGTGATTTTACATATTTTAAAAGAGGACACACCTTAAAAGCTGGACATGTCTTAAAAGTGGACATATTTAAAAAGAGGACACACCTTAAAAGCTGACATGTCTTAAAAGTGGACATATTTTAAAAAGAGGACACACCTTAAAAGCTGGTATTTCGCTAAACTCCCAAAGGGCCAATTAATGAACGTTAACAATCGTTCTGATTCGTATCTCAAGACTTTTACATTTAAACGCTGTAGCTATTCATGATGCTACTTTTTATCGGCTGGGTTGGATCGGCAGTGAGTGGGCAACTGAGAGATCGATATGTACAGATAGAAAGATGTGAATCTATTTACCTCATCGTGCAACACATTTCTTTCCTCCGTGCCCGCTGGTACTGCGCTAACATGGACATCCATTGCACTTTACGACACACGGCGATATGTTGTATTTTGACATTACGGCATCGATCATTAAGCTCTTGCAGTTATAGATGCTTGTTGTTGCCTTTTGGGTATGTCGTAGACAGAGACGGATGACGACATCATCGATGACGAAGGTACTATTGGCGTAAACCGTCTCCGTCCTGTGAATTCTATTCTTTTTCTTATCATCGGGTAAAGTGTTATAATGCTTCATCGACTTGTCAATTTCAAATACACCTTGACATATATTTCGGGGAACGTCATATTTTACATCATTTGGAACTATGACAGGTGTTGTTTCTTTGGTGTATTGTGGTTGTTGCTGTATTAATAATACCGTTATTGTTATTATTATTTTTCTTTCCTTATAGTATCCATTTTTTTCTTTATAGCCTGTATCTGTTTGCATCTCACTGTATATCTGTACATTGTTAACGTTGGTATCTGACAATGTAGTTGGTGTCACACGATTATTAGTATTTGTATTTTTATCCATTATAACGTAAGTGTTCTCTTCATTGATATTATGGTATATGTGTTCTTTCTCTTCATTTTCTTCCTCACGGTGATATCGCCTAAACTCTGGATACCCGTTATGTTGATCGAAGGGGACAGTATCGGTGTTCATATTTCGATAGTACCAGTCGAGTGGTTTGCTCTTCTGACTCAGACTAGTATTGGGTAGCATATCGCCTACATCTACGCTATCATATACGACACCCAGACACTTCTTGAACTTTTGGTCTTGTATGTCGGTTACATTGAATAACCACTGTAGGTTGAACAATTTACTCTTTGTATTCTTCTTAGAGTGATCGATTTTAGATGCAGATTTGCATAACAGTAGTGCACAACTCGTTTACTTCTCTTGCTAGCATAAATCAGACGAATATTCTTCTTCTTGTTTGTTGTATCATCTTCTATGGTATTTCTTATATTTCTTGAATATCGAAGATATTTTTCTTCAGCTACTAGCATCCTTGCTGCTTCTTTTACTAATCTTAAATTTGTATCTCTGTCTGTGAGGTACTCATAGATCGCAATTCCGGCTGCGGTCGGTAAGTGAAAAAAGGATAAATCATGTTAATCAAGGCGTTTCTGGACATCGATAATGTACTCCTTTCAATCAGCTTTAATGTCGTATATTTTTTCAGATGTCTGTCGCGATACAATTTATTAAAATAACACATATTCCACAAGAAATCTATTATATATGGAATACTATAATTCTTACTCTTATCGTTGTCACTATCGTTGTGATTTTTCCTGTGGCATTTATATTCTTCCTCCGTAATATATTTGTGAATAAGACACCTTTCTACCAATTCGTTCTCTATACGCCTCATGGTAGATTCACTCCAGCCTTCGTTCAAAATACCGTACGTTAAAGCACTAATTGTGTATGTGTGTATAGGATTGTTTGTATCAGCATCAGCATCATCGTCACTTGCAGTACACGATGCTAGTTCCATGACATTGTTCACGGTATATATCTTCTTTTTTGAAAATAGCAAATTGTCATGTTCCTGTACTTTTCTTATACCGTTAGTGACAAAGAACGCTTGTCTCCGTATCTGCTGTATGCGGTGAATGACATCTTCACCAAAAAACAGGAGCTTATAATCAATATAGTCATACATTATTGTAATTAGAGTAGCTTACCTCTCAGTATTATAGCTCTGAAAAACTTCAAAGGATATTTCGCAATGTCCTCAATGATATCAGGTAACCGACTTCTGTCATAGGAATCTACATATAAAACAGTTGAAAGAGTATCGTTCGCTGATTGTCCTCGTCCTTTACTTTCGATGATAACAGTTTTCAAATGACCGCTGCTGTGAGAATATAGCGCTCTACTTTGATACACATACGCCTTTCGCCGTTATAGATGTCGCTAGTATTTAAAGGTTCATCGCCAATAGCGACGCGATCGTCGTTTCTTTGTATTCTCCCTCTCACGATGGTATTGGTTTCACAATTTGGTCTGACTTCGACTTTCACTGTAGGGAAATGTAACAGATATTCTGCAGCATTAGATCTCTTCAGATTTACGGTTATTCCCTTTTCCATCAATAATCCCAGTGCGCAGTATAACGTTAAACAGAGAGCTTCTTCAGACGCATGGGTTATTATTACGCCATCGTCTCTGTACGACGATTTAATGCCGTCTCTGTCAGAAAGATCATGTGTCGATATCGGATAACCGGCTTCTGTCAGTGCGTTCAGTAATCCCACCATTGATGAATAGTATATCTTTCATATTCTCTCATTGTCAGGTAATGTTTTTCGTTGTCTCATATAGTCATCGTTGTTATTAAAATTATATTCACGTTTATCGTGATATTTTTTTTTAAACTTAGTGTTCTCACCATAGACGAATAGTATATCTTTCCGCCTTCTCTCACTGTCAGGTAATAATATTATTATCTTGTATATAATCATCGTTGTTATTTATTGCTAAGAGTTTATATACACGTTTATCGCGTATATATTATTACGTGTGTATATGTGTCCTGAGTATCACGTTATATGTGAATATTATTAGGATACAATAGCTCTGCACACATGTTTGATGTCTCTTCTACAGATGGGGCACTGTCTCAGGATACAGCACAGGAAACGCACGTAACCATATGCGAGCACGGAAGAAACACTATAGCTATTTCACTGTCCATGCACACTTTACATGTGCGATCTTCACGCATCCGTTCGAGTTCTTCTTTCATCTGTTCGTCTAAAATGGAAAGATGATAAATACACGTGTTAATTTTCGATAAATAATAAGAATGATAATAACTAACAATAACAACAATAAAAATAATAATAGTAACAATGTATTCATCTATAATAGTAAAAATTTAAATAATCAATCATAATATAGATTATACTTACAAGATTGTCTTGACTTGAATTCTTCTTTTCCTCATATCCCTCCTTTTCTTCATATCCCTCCTTCTCTTCTTCACTAGTCTGTGATATGATTTCTTCTACTATTTGCAAAATATGGTTTGCTTCAGTTTCGGTATTTTCCTCGTTCAAATGATGATGATAACGTTGTAGTCAGAGGTGCAATAGGGGAATATAGAAGCCTGCTGTCGTATTATTTCGGATGTAGATGGAAATATAGAAGCCTGTTGCTGTTGAGATAATGGTTCAACCTCGGTAGATTCGAATGGAAGCGGTTGAATATTTGCAACCCGATTCCCCATGGTTTTAGACGTAGATGGGGAATATCGGTGCTTGTTGTTGAAATATCGAAGATGAAATATCGGCCTCACCATATGACGGCTCACGCTCTGTACTCTCAGAACGATTATCTGCGACCCGATTCTCTGTTACGCTCATTCTCTGTATAACATCTTCAAGGCAAGGCTCTATAACGAAATACGGTTCGCCGGTTTGTTCAACCCGATCTTTAAGGCAGGCCCTGACTATACAACTAGGATATCCCATTTCCAGTACACACTTGACGACATCCAAACTCATCAACAGATCCAATTCTTGTTCGATACGGATTGCACCTCCGTTGGATTATTACTGCTACCGGAAGCAGCCTTATCGATACCCGAATATACAGTACTCGCTGTGCGGGTGTACGGTGAATATTCTCGCTGGACCTAAAAGAAATTATAACAGTTGTTAACATCATAGTAATAGTAATCTAATAATAACGATATATAAAACAACAATTAATAAAAATATCCAGCAAAATAAGATACAATTAAGAGGCGTATACATACTTCATTGATATAGTCCTGGCCTTTCTTCAATAAGACAAATCTGCATTTAGGATACCATCTAGCGTGTTCCTTCCAAGGTATGTCGCTAGATATCCAATTGCGAAGACCCTTACCGCAGTGGAAACAGCGAACATGATCACTCAGACCTATGTATATAATAACGGTAACTGTGTTTCTTTTGCAAAAGTATTTAATGCTTCTTTGATAGAGAAAACGCAATCAATTCCAGAGATCTTAATAAGCTGATGCTGTTATCAATATTTAACACCTGTAATGAATCTACTATTACCGATACACGTAAACGCATATATATACATATATATATATAAAAACGTTGTACCACAGTAGAAAAAATCCAGCTTCGGCAAGATCTTGTGCATGCAGACCGAGGATGGGCCATCCTTCGACATAGCTCTTCAATCGGCTATCTAGTGTCGTGAAATCACTTCGTTTCGGTCTAGAATGCTGGTAGAGACCAGTTTCATCCGGAGATCCTCCTGTGAGACGAAGCGATAGCAGGGAATAAATCTGGATTGAGCTCACGGGTAAAGAGTTATATACAGTGTTCATAAATACTAATCAGCGATAAAAGATACCAAACTACTCACTGCATTCGGGATACGATCCGGCCATATGTCTTGACGAAAATCTGCAAGCGTCGGCCTCAACACGTCTTGATCCGCAATCGTCCAGACTCGGATGTAGTACCGGTAACCTGGCTAAGATATTGCCTTGAACAATGGGAACATTTCCAGTTGGCTGACCCCTAATAAAGGGACATTGGGGAAAATGGCGTTGATGTTCTCCTCTTGGCGTGTCAGTTTTTTCCCAGGTTCCAACTATCCCTCTGCAGAAGATACACGCACAGTGATCATCTTTCCTGAGATAATAAAATCCGTCGGCCGCCAATTCTGACGGTTTCAGCCATTCATGAGGCCAGTCGATGAAGGTTCCTAATCGCTTTTCTTCGTATCTCAGACAATCGTAGCCGACAAACGGCATGTCCCTGTATACTATAGTGGTATCGATGGGAGATATCTCATGTTCGCTGAACGTGGTTAACCGATACTCTTCCTGCTGCAGAAAACTGTTAGGATGTGATATATCCATCGTCTTCGGTTACATTGATCTGGCACTGGCTATGAAAACATTTCTTATGGACGAATTAGAGATATTCTCCCGATCTTCCGATTTAAAAAAAAATTACTTACACTACACTTAAAAGTACAGGAACCGGAGGAGGAGGAGAGAGTCGAGTCGAGTCTAACTTTATATTATCAGTCGGTGTTTATATAGCTAGGCCATGTTTCTAAATACGTATTCCAGTTTTAAGATGTGTCCACTTTTAAAAGAGGACGCACTTTAAAAACTGGACATGTTTAAAAGTGGACACATCTTAAAAACTGGACATGTCTTAAAAGTGGACATGTTTTAAAAGTGGACACACCTTACAAACTGGACATGTCTTAAAAGTGGACACACCTTATAAACTGGACATGTCTTAAAACTGGACATGTCTTAAAACTGGACATGTTTTAAAAGTGGACATATTTTAAAAGAGGATACACCTTAGATGTGTCCACTTTTAAGACATGTCCAGTTTTTAAGGTGTGTCCTCTTTTAAAATATGTCCACTTTTAAGACATGTCCAGTTTAAAACATGTCCAGTTTATAAGGTGTGTCCACTTTTAAAGCATGTCCAGTTTATAAGGTGTGTCCACTTTTAAAGCATGTCCAGCTTTTAAGGTGTGTCCTCTTTTAAAATATGTCCACTTTTAAGACATGTCCAGCTTTTAAGGTGTGTCCTCATTTAAAATATGTCCACTTTTAAGACATGTCCAGCTTTTATGGTGTGTCCTCTTTAAAATATGTCCACTTTTAAGACATGTCCAGCTTTTAAGGTGTGTCCTCTTTTAAAATATGTCCACTTTTAAGACATGTCCAGCTTTTAAGGGTGTTCCTCTTTTAAAATATGTCCACTTTTAAGACATGTCCAGCTTTTAAGGTGTGTCCTCTTTTAAAATATGTCCACTTTTAAGACATGTCCAGCTTTAAGACATGTCCATATTTTAAAACGTCCATATTTTGAAACATGTCCATTTTTTCAGACATATCCAACTCTCAAAGTAAGTTTAAACGGCTACTTTCCGTGATTATGATAAACACGACTCAATAAAGACGAATCGTAAGAATAGAATATGTATTGCTGTAGATTCAAGGATCGTGATCAATTTATCGTTTCGATGGGGCAACAGACAAATTCTGATATACTATAATGTGATTTTACATATTTTAAAAGAGGACACACCTTAAAAGCTGGACATGTCTTAAAGTGGACATATTTTAAAAGAGGACACACCTTAAAAGCTGGACATGTCTTAAAAGTGGACATATTTTAAAAGAGGACACACCTTAAAAGCTGGTATTTCGCTAAACTCCCAAAGGGCCAATTAATGAACGTTAACAATCGTTCTGATTCGTATCTCAAACTTTTACATTTAAACGCTGTAGCTATTCATGATGCTACTTTTTTATCGGCTGGGTTGGATCGGCAGTGAGTGGGCAACTGAGAGATCGATATGTACAGATAGAAAGATGTGAATCTATTTACCTCATCGTGCAACACATTTCTTTTCCTCCGTGCCCGCTGGTACTGCGCTAACATGGACATCCATTGCACTTTACGACACACGGCGATATGTTGGTATTTTTGACATTTACGGCATCGAATCATTAAGCTCTTGCAGTTATAGATGCTTGTTGTTGCCTTTTTGGGTATGTCGTAGACAGAGACGGATGACGACATCATCGATGACGAAGGTACTATTGGCGTAACCGTCTCTCCGTCCTGTGAATTCTATTCTTTTTCTTATCATCGGGTAAAGTGTTATAATGCTTCATCGACTTGTCAATTTCAAATACACCTTGACATATATTTCGGGGAACGTCATATTTTACATCATTTGGAACTATGACAGGTGTTGTTTCTTTTGGTGTATTGTGGTTGTTGCTGTTATTAATAATACCGTTATTGTTATTATTATTTTTCTTTTCCTTATAGTATCCATTTTTTTTCTTTATAGCCTGTATCTGTTTGCATCTCACTGTATATCTGTACATTGTTAAACGTTGGTATCTGACAATGTAGTTGGTGTCACACGATTATTAGTATTTGTATTTTTATCCATTATAACGTAAGTGTTCTCTTCATTGATATTATGGTATATGTGTTCTTTTCTCTTCATTTTCTTCCCTCACGGGTGATATCGCCTAAACTCTGGATACCCGTTATGTTGATCGAAGGGGACAGTATCGGTGTTCATATTTCGATAGTACCAGTCGAGTGGTTTGCTCTTCTGACTCAGACTAGTATTGGGTAGCATATCGCCTACATCTACGCTATCATATACGACACCCAGACACTTCTTGAACTTTTGGTCTTGTATGTCGGTTACATTGAATAACCACTGTAGGTTGAACAATTACTCTTTGTATTCTTCTTAGAGTGATCGATTTTAGATGCAGATTTGCATAACAGTAGTGCACAACTCGTTTTACTTCTCTTGCTAGCATAAATCAGACGAATATTCTTCTTCTTGTTTGTTGTATCATCTTCTATGGTATTTCTTATATTTCTTGAATATCGAAGATATTTTTCTTCAGCTACTAGCATCCTTGCTGCTTCTTTTACTAATCTTAATTTGTATCTCTGTCTGTGAGGTACTCATAGATCGCAATTCCGGCTGCGGTCGGTAAGTGAAAAAAGGATAAATCATGTTTAATCAAGGCGTTTCTGGACATCGATAATGTCCCTTTCAATTCACTTTAATTTCGTATATTTTTTCAGATGTCTGTGTCGCGATACAATTTTAGTAAAATAACACATATTCCACAAGAAATCGATTATATATGGAATACGATTATTCTTACTCTTCTCGTTGTCACTAATCGTTGTTATTTTTTCCCTGTGGCATTTATATTCTTCGCTCCGTAATATATTTGTGAATCCGACCCTTTCTACCAATTCGTTCTCTATACGACGCCCTCATGGTAGATTCACTCCAGCCTTCGTTCAAATACCGTACTCATTAAAGCCTATTGTGTTGTGGTGTATAGGTTGTTTGTATCAGCATCAGCATCATCGTCACTGCAGACACGATGCTAGTTCCAGACATTGTCCACGGTAAATAAATATCTTCTTTTTTGAAAATAGCAAATTGTCATGTTCCTGTACTTGTTCTTATCCGTTAGTGACAAAGAACGCTTGTCTCCGTATCTGCGGATGCGTGAAAAACAAAAAAAAACGACATCTTCACCAAAAAACAGGACTTATACTCAATATAGTATACATTTATTGTAATTAGAGTAGCTTACCTCTCAGTAATTATAGCTCTGAAAAACTCAAAGGATATTTCGCAATGGCCTCAATGATATCAGGTAACCCGACTTCTGTCTAGAATCTACTATAAAACAGTGAAAGATATCGTTCCTGATTGTCCTCAGTCCCTTTACTTTCGATGATGAACAGTTTTCACATGACCGCTTGCTGTGAGAATTAGCGCTCTACTTGATACACATACGCCTTTCCGCCGTTAATAGATGTCGCTATATTAAGGTTTCATCGCCAATACGACGCGATCGTCGTTTCTCTTCTTGTATTCCCTCCCTCTCACGATGGTATTGGTTTTCACAATTTGGTCTGACTCGACTTTCACTGTAGGGGAAAATGTAACAGCATTATTCTGCAGCATTAGATCTCTTCAGTTGTACGGGTATTCCCTTTTTCCATCATAACCCAGTGCGCAGTATAACGTTAACAGAGAGCTTCTTCAGACCATGGGTTTTATTACGCCTCGTCTCTGTACGACGATTTAATGCCGTCTCTGTCAAAAGATCATGTGTCGATATCGGATACCGGCTTCTTCTGCGTTCCAGTAATCCCACCTGATGATCGTAGATCTTTCATATTCTCTCATTGTCAGTTAATGTTTTTCGTTGTTCATATAGTCAACGGTGTTATTAAATTATCACGTTTATCGTGATAACTTTTTTTTTAAACCTTAGTGTTCTCACATATACGAATAGTATTCTTTCCGCCTTCTCTCACGGTCAGGTAATAATATTATTAGCTTGTATAATATCCATCGTTGTATTATTTATTGCTAAGAGTTTATATACACGTTTATATCGCGTATATATATTACGTTGTGTTATGTGGATCTGAGTATCACGTTTATATGGTGAATATATTAGAACAATAGCTCTGCACACATGTTGTGATGCCTCTTTCCACAGATGGGGCCTGTCCAGGGATACAGCACAGGAAACGCACGTAACCATATGCGAGCACTGAAAGAAACACTATAGCTATTTCACTGTCCATGCACACTTTACATGTGGCGATCTTCACGCAATCCGTCGAGTTCTTCCTTCATCTGTTCGTCCTAAATGGAAAGATGATAAATACACTTTGTTATTTTTTCGAAATAAAGAATGATATAACTAACAATAACACCATAAAAATACTAATATTAACAATGATTCATCTAATAGTAAAATTTAAATAATCATCAAATCTAGATATACTTACAGATTGTCTAGACCTTGAAATTCTTCTTTTTTCCTCATACCCTCCTTTTCCTTCATATCCCTCCTTCTCTTCTTCACTATCCTGTGATATATTTCTTCTTTCCTACTATTTGCAAAATATGTTTTTGCTTCAGTTTCGGTATTTTCTTCCTCGTTCAAATGATGATGATAACGTTTTTAGTCAGAGGTGCAATAGGGAATATCGAAGCCTGCTGTCGTATATTTTTCGGATGTAGATGGAAATATAAAAGCCTGTTGCTGTTGAGAAAATGGTTCAACCTCGGTAGATTCGACATGGAAGCGGTTGGAATATTTGAACCCACCCGTTTCCCCATGGGTTTAGACGTAATGGAATACGGTGCTTTGTTGTTGAAATATCGAAGATGGAAATATCGCCTCCCATATGACGATCCTCTCTGTCTCTCATACGATTATCTGCGACCCGATTCTCCTGTTACGCTCATTCTCTGTATAACAAACTTCAAGCAAGCTCTATACGACATAAACGGTTCGCGGTTTTG